AGAAATGATAAAGTAATTATAGATGTTATATTTACACCCCTTTGTCTGCAGTTGGCATGTGTGACTGAAGATTGAATTGAAACCAAAGCAAAATATTCAACGTGTAAATTTTAGACTTCACTCACCCGTGCACTTATGCATGTTGGTAAATGAATTTTGTTTTGATATCATAATTTATGATTTTATGAAACGTTGCTTCATTGGCATAATCAGATGATATAAGCCTCAGGACATCAACATCGTAATATCTAGTTTGGTGACACTGTTGTGTCAAAATTCCAACATGGTCAACATTTTGTTTGCTAAATATTTGTTGGGAAAAAAAAGGAAATTCGATATCTCTTGTGAAAGATTTGCTCCTGCAGTTACTGCAGCCTAATTTGTTTTCTTTTGTTTTTCTACCTTGCAACATTTATGTAAACTGCAAACGGGAAATCTGACAGGTGCTCGCCATTTTATAGCAGCAATTGTAAAAATTTAGATGCAAAGAGCTCTGTTTTTGAATTAAGACCCATGCAGAGAAAGAAAGGGGCTATTTTGCCTGTTATGAAGGCTTCCAAAGAATTAAAATCAGATCAAAATTTTTGGATTTCCTTATGGACATCATTCATTACCCTTGGCAGTATTCATTACCCTTGCTTTTCTGGGGGTTTCTCTTTCAGTGTAGTTTTAATCTATGAACTTGAGTGAAATGTGTAGTTTGTTACTTAACAAGTTTTTTGTATGATTAGATCAAGAGGTATGGGTTTTTTTTATATTAGTGGGTGGTCAACTAGACTAGGGATGTTATTGTTGTAGACAGTCTTCACGAGTCCTATATTGCCTTCATCTACACAATACTTTAGCAAATGATGACAGTTTAGTTGTTACGTTGGTACTGATACACAAAAAGTAATCTATCAGCTTACTCTGTTTGATGAAACTCACTGCAAAATTCTAACAAGCTGCACATCTAAGAATTTGTAATTTTTTTTGATAACCCTACGAATTTGAGGTATCTTTACCGCAAATACAAGTAACAGTTGTTCTGTGAGAGGGCTCACCCTTTGCCCACCTTAAAAGTGACTAGCATCTAATGTCTCCTTACATTCTCACCCGGAATCACACATTAAGATCATGAGACTAAATGAATGATCACCAACTAAAGAGGCTCTTGATCGTGAAACAATTTCTCCTTGTTAGCACCTTAGGGAATGTATAGAGAACAGTATGGAGAATATGCATACCGATGTAAAGGTGGTGTAAAGGTTATAGTTTTCTGGGGAGTTCTTTTAACATATTTATTTCTTTTTAAGATTCAGTGAGATTTTGAAAAAGTGTTTATTCGTGGATTGTATCTAGTCAGTTGCACATTTTTTTTACCTCAACTGGTAGTCGCATTAGTCTTTGGTTAGAGAAGTCCTGTTTCAAGATCTGGCATGATCATATAATCATGTTCTCAGGCACAACTTGTACTCACCTTATGGGCTTATTTATTCCAAATTACATGAGAAAAATCATGTGATTACATACTAATAATATATGTGAAAAAATATGAGATAGTTTATCATAATTATGCAGATGCAAAGTGTGTGCATCAAGTGCAAAAATAATGTATTCAAACCGTGCAAGTGACATTTTGCGTTTGGTCAAAGTAACCATGTACGATCAAAACAATAATATACAATTATTTTTTTTACATCTTAAATGAGCAAAAAAGTCCAAAGTCTGGCTAAACAGTTAGAGGAATTGTTCAGCCTGGTTTGTTACTTCTTTGCACTGAATTAACCTTTTACATTGAATTACCTGAAAATTACATTTATCTTAACCAATCAGAACTGAATTTTCTCTTGAAGCTTTTACATCTGAAATAAGATTTCACACAAACCTTGGGTTACCTTAACCCCAGCTTTGAAAAACATAAACAAGGAGTATAAATGAGTACTGGAAAATTGTCAGGGAAAGGTGGAAAAAAACTTGGGGGTGGGGGGGGGGGGGGGGGGGGGGAGGGTGGAGAGAACCCCTGAAGGGTTGGCATCTATCATAGTGAAGAACCTGTGGTAAAACTCACAGGTGTGGGACTCTTTCTTAGTGTCCAGGTTTTCTTGACCCTTTCACTCTCAAAATCTGAAATTGTTAATTCTCTCCTCTAGCTGCTACACATTGCCTCATGAATTATTTACAAGAATATGGTGTTAGATCAAGATAACAACTTTTACTTGATAAGATTGAGATTTCTCATTAGCTGTTTCCTATACTATGTATGGATATTATTGGAGAAGTTACATGTTAATTACCAGGGAATTTTGGGGTGTATGTCCTCCCTTCCTGCAGTAAAGTGAATTGTAAACAAGTTGGTTTCTATTGCAGACACACCTACAGGTTATATGTCTGAGGATGGTGGATCTCCTCGTCCTGTTGACCCAAATGCAATGGAAGTGGACAATGTCAACTCCCCACCAGCTGTGTCACCACAGACAGGTTAGTGGAAAACATAAATTTCTCTGAATTTTCTTGTTCGACTATTTCACAGTATTGTAGGGTATTTGTTGATTAAAATATTTTTAAAAAATATTGCACTGTGACAGTGCATTCCAGAGGTTAATGAACTTAACTTGAAGTCTATTTATTAACATTTCCACATTTTCTGTTATTTGTTATTCACAGATTTGCGACATGTTACCCCAGTTAATTACCAGGAGCCATCTTCATGGTGTTCAGTCTCTTACTATGAGCTGAATAACAGAGTTGGTGAACAGTTTCAAGCAAGCTCAACCAGCATCTTTGTAGATGGATTCACAGATCCAAACACAGCAAATTCAGAGAGATTCTGTCTGGGTCTGTTGTCTAATGTAAATCGCAATTCAACCATTGAAAGTACAAGGCGACATATTGGTAAAGGTGTGCATCTGTACTATGTGGGTGGAGAGGTTTTTGCTGAATGCCTCAGTGACTCTGCCATCTTTGTGCAGAGTAGAAATTGTAACCACATTCATGGCTTTCATCCAACAACAGTGTGCAAGATTCCTTCAAGTTGCACACTTAAAATTTTCAACAGCCAAGAATTTGCCCAGTTGCTCTCACAATCTGTCAATTATGGTTATGAGGCAGTGTATGAGCTGACAAAGATGTGTTCCATTCGCTTGAGTTTTGTCAAAGGCTGGGGAGCTGAGTATCATCGCCAAGATGTTACCAGTACACCATGCTGGATTGAAATCCATCTCCATGGTCCCTTGCAGTGGCTTGACAAGGTGCTGATTCAGATGGGGTCACCTCGAAATCCAATTTCTTCTGTTTCCTGAGAACTTTAGTGTAGTTAATTTGGCAGCAGTGCATCATTGGCATTGTGTTATTTGGGTAGTTAGGTTTATGCTGTTGGCTTTGAAAGCAGTTAATGAATCAGTGTTTTAAACTTTATTTGCTCCTTTATATTTGTGTGGTTGTGTTGTTTTGCTAAATCTATTGAGACCTGGAATTCAGGCTTTGATGAGCAGGTTTTCTCTAAAGTTAAGGAGCAGTGCTCACAAATAGTAAACATAACAGTTGTTTTTACTATACATATTCCATACTTTTTGATTCAAATGAAAGTTTTCTTTATTCTGACAAAAGAAATCATATTATCATGGTCCTCATATGTTATTATTATGCTACCCTGTCGTATGCAAAATATTTCTTGTTTCATCATGAATACATATTATAAATATACTCTCTTGGTTAATGTTTGAATGCTATATTTGCTTTTCTATTAACTCCCTCCATCTGACAGTGAAATTTCCTTTTTTGAGGTTTCTCATCTTTTTGTCTGTTAGTTTTTACACCTGTGGCCTTATACACATGAATTTTTTCTTTCATCCTTTGCATTAGTTTCTGCTTCTCAAAATAATGGCATCATATGGAGGTGAATCATTTTTGGAGGAGGGGGGTGGGGGGGGGGCCAAAAGCTTGACCTTTTCACTCCAAAGATCTGACTAGTAACTCTCCCTAGTAGGTGTTAGACAATTTCTTTCAAATTAGTTAGGAGAAGTGGTAAAACACGACACCAGCTGATTTGGTGAAAGGCATGTCTAGTGATAATTAACAACTGCTGTAACAAAGATGAAATAAAGAAATCTTTTCGTGAATGAAATGTCTAAAGCGTACATCTATTTCAAGGCAGATATATTTTACCCGATGGGTAAGTACGAAAGGCAGGACGAATCGTTCCCAACTACCTTGCCACGCCCAGCTACTCCTTGGGTCTGATACAAAAGAGTCATTTGTAAATGAATTTCGATGGGAATTCGACTGTGCGAAGCTTTCTTTAACAGGACTTTTTTTCATTTGAGTCGTCTTAGTAGTTTTTACTTTCGCGTAGTTACGTAATATGCTACTCTGCAACATTTGTGCATAGTTCCGCACTTCATTATGCATACTGTTCTTAGATTTAGAAACAATGGCGAAAAAGATATAACTATAAGACTACGACTTTGTTTTTTAATAGAGTTAATAAGTGGAGTTCGTGTTTTAAGATGAGAGTGAGGCGAGGCCTTGGAGAGAAACAAAAAATGTGGGTTTTCACGTTGCTTTGATGTAACATTTACTGTTTGAAGAAAGTCGTATTGATAGTTTAATGCACAGCGAACTCCGAGGTTAGCGTATACACGGTATGAAACAGGATTTTTGTCAAATTCAATCTTTTTTCACTCGGTTTCATAGTATTTGGAGTTCAGGGGTGAAGATATCGGCCCGTTTTTTTTAATTTATTTATATATTTTGAAGTAGACACCAAATATGGTGCTTGAAGGTTTGTACATAGAACTTGTTACTATTCTTTGAGGAAATGCTGGGGAAAGGTTGTGAGTGGTAATTAAAACAACTGAATGCTTGAAATTTTTTCTATCAATTTTTTAAATTTTTTTTGTGGCTCAAACAGAGCAGAAAGAGTATTCTGGCTGGTCAATCTTGTTACATTGCTTGTACTGTTACCTCTTTCAACCTCCCCTCCCATCTAAAACATTTGCATATTACTTTGACGTAAACATCTGTCTGGGAGGTAAACACTTCTATGTTTAAGAGTGACGTACAAATTGCTACAGTTCTTCTATCTAGATTAAACTTCAAAAGGAAAGAAACAGGTGTCGAAAAACCTACACTACAGCGTCTTAATTGTTTCATTATAAGGCACAGACTACAACAGCAAACCAGCGATTGTACCACGAGATGTCTACGCTGTTTTCGTTTGCGCACCCTGCTGTTAAGAGAATACTTGGTTGGAAGCAAGGCGACGAGGAGGAAAAATGGGCCGAAATTGCAATTTCATACTTGGCTAGAAGGCTCAAAAAGAAGAAAGGTGCTATGGAGGAGTTGGAGAAAGCGCTTTCCAATCCGAGTCAACTATCACAATGCGTTACTCTCCCTCGAGGCACCGATGGACGAATTCAAGTTCGTCACAAGAAAGGGTTGCCTCATGTTATCTATTGCCGCATTTGGCGATGGCCCGATCTCCAGAGTCCTCACGAATTAAAGGCACTGGATTGTTGCGAATATGCTTTTGGTTTAAAAAAGAAAGAAGTCTGTATCAATCCTTTCCACTATAGTCGCGTGGAGAGCCCAGGTGAGTCAGACTGAAAATTAGAGAGATTGAGAATTTGGATTAATTAAGATAAAATACAACTCACTTATACGTGTTTGGACATGTACATTTATTTGTTTCCTGGCCTAAAAACCTGCCTAAAATTTCTTACCTTATTATCCATTTTTGTCTTTTAAATTTCAAACGTATCAAGAAGTCAAAAATATTCTTTCATCGAAAATGTTAGTTTGTATACCATTTACCCCCCCTAGTTTTTTAATGTTTTTTTTTTTGCGTATTCACAATCATTAATTGCAATGTAAGCAGATTAAAAATATTGCTCCTCAGTGCAGCTGACTACAAAGTGTGGTTTAAATGGTGACAATGCATCTAGCTAGATGTCACCATAAATTTTGTGTTTACTTTTTTTAATTAACTTACATTTTGTTAGAAATAATGTTTTGACAATGAACACCATGAATAATGGGTGTTAATGGAGGGGGGGGCATCATAGCAGGGGACACAGTCCTTTCTAGCAGACAAAAGCCAACTGCAATCAGATGATAAGAGTGGAACACACTTAAAGCAGACTCCCTACTCCTGTCATTTTGTTGTAACCAAATCTCCTTTTTCCTCAACACAAGCTTTTATTTCCCCCAGTCTTCATTCTCCCCCTCCCTGCCCCCCTTTCAAAATTCCTTATCATCCATCTTTTCAGATAATTTTTTGCAAATAAGCAACTTAAGATGTATTGCTTCTCCCCTTTGATCATATGCGGATCCAAAATGCAATTTACCCCTGAGCGTAATTTTCCTCTACATGATACCTTAAAACTGTCAGGGGAACCATACTACTTGGTTGAAAGGGACATTGAGAGAGTAAAGAATCTGGTCTAACAACACAACACAGTGAGTCTACCAAGTTATGTACAAGCTGGACCAAGTTATGTACAAGCTGGACCTTTTAGTGATCCGTGGTTGATTCCACAAACCCTTGGAACTGTGTCCCTCTTACAATCAGTTGATAAGCTTTAATCATTTTATGTTCTTATTCTCCCAGTGTTACCTCCAGTGTTGGTGCCACGGCAAAGTGAATACCCAAAACCTCAACCACCCTTACCGCCCCCATTTCAAAGTGCAGCAGAACCTCCATTGCCATACAATGCTTGTTTCCCTTTCAAACAACAAGCACGTAGGCCTGAGGGCAGCATGAACATGTACATGGCAGGTAACTGTACTTTTCACTCATTTTAAGGTATCTTTCTTTTGGTTAACCATTCTTTATGAAGACTCCATTTGATTCATTAAAAATGTATTGAAAGGGGAAGCAAGACAAACCATCTCCTATTCATGTATGTTGGGCTAGATTCCTCTCCTTCACATCCCCTTTAGGTGGGGGCGGGGAACATATGATTTACTTGACCCCATCCTTGTAGAAAATAAGTCATGAGACTTTTGCAATACATGAATAAATTCTCCTCCCAAATTACCTGCTGTTTGCCCAAACAACCAGAAGAAAATTTGGCACTGATTGAAAAAGTGTTGAGAGACTTCAGTCAAGTACCTCTAAAATACATAGTATAATGTGCAGCTTTCTCTTTTTCTTTACTTAGAGTCACCCAAAAGTTATATATCAGAGGATGCAGAATCACCATGTCCTACAGACCCAAATACTATGGATGTAGATGTTGTTGGATCTCTGCCAACAATGGTGAACCAACCATGTAAGTCAACAAAATATTTTTGTTACTGATAAATAGAAGTCATCAATGAGCATTACATCTTTGTTTCTTTGTTTACAACTTGTTTGAAGGTTAACCCTTTGATATTCAGGAAAGTGTTCTTGGTTGTTCTTATTTAGGTCCATTTCATGCACCACACTTTTCATGTGCTGAACCTAACATTATAAGTAGATTAGATGAAAGTTTGATTGAAAAGCCCAAGTTCAATTTTGAGCACCTTATAGCCTTTCTTTATTCTTGGATTAGCAGGGAATTATGATTTTGCATTGCCTTTGGAATGTATTTGATTCATAGCTTAGGCCAAACAAAATTCATGCATAATTGACTTGTTTTGAATATGCTGTTCTTCTGAAACTATTTTGGGGAAAGGTATGATAGCTGTTTAAGTTAAGCATCAACAGTAAGACTAGTGTAATTTTTTAAATTTGGAGCAGTCCAAATCTAAATTAACCCTTTAACTCCTAGAAGTGATTAACAGGTAACTTCTCCCTACAATATTCATACATTATCCAGCAAAGAGGTGATGAGAGTACTCAAACTAATCTGGTAGAAATTGTTATCTTGATCTCACACCAAACTCTCCAAACTAATATACAAGGAAATGTATAGCAGGGAGAGGGGAGAACTTACAATCAGATCTTGGGAATTAAAGGGTTGAGATTGGCTCATGAAAAGTTGGGGTCATAACCTGGCCTCATAAATAGAAATTGAAAATAGAGATTGAGTTGAAGTTGTAACTGGAAGATGTAATTCACTCTCTTGCAGATTTATCTCATGTTACTCCAGTAAGCTATCAAGAACCAATATCATGGTGTTCTATTTCCTACTATGAGCTGAACAACAGAGTTGGAGATCAGTTCCATGCTTATCGTAACAGTATCATGGTAGATGGATTCACAGATCCAAACACCAAAAACTCAGAAAGATTCTGTTTAGGTCAATTAACCAATGTCAGTCGTAACTCAACCATTGAGAGTGCAAGGCGACATATTGGAAAAGGTGTGCATCTGTACTACGTGGGCGGAGAGGTTTTTGCTGAATGCCTCAGTGACTCTGCCATCTTTGTGCAGAGTAGAAATTGCAACAACAGCCATGGTTTTCACCCTACAACAGTGTGTAAGATTCCTTCAGGCTGTACCTTGAAAATTTTCAACAACCAAGAATTTGCACAGTTGCTTTCTCAGTCTGTTAATTATGATTTTAAGGCTGTATACGATTTGGTAAAGATGTGTTCCATTCGGCTGAGTTTTGTCAAAGGCTGGGGGGCTGAGTATCATCGCCAAGATGTTACAAGTACACCATGCTGGATTGAAATTCATCTGCGTGGTCCTCTGCAATGGCTTGACAAGGTGCTGACTCAGATGAATACAGAAGGAATGAATTCAACAAACTCATTTGATTGATCTCTGTAATCTTATATGTTGTTCCAGGAAATATCCATGCATTAACACGAATCAAGTTTTGGTTTAAAAGGTCCCCCCTTTCCCTGACTCTGAACAAATTCCTTTGCCTCCTCTCCCCCTCCCTTACCACCACAGGCATAGTTGGGTTAAGTCACTGCCCCTTCCATAATCATCTGCCCTCTTGAGTGGTGTAATTCTTTTCCAATCAAATATATTGACAATCAAACTTGTTTTCTATATATCTGGTCAGAGAAATGTAAGAAATCTGCAAATAATTGCTTCTTAAACAATAGCTGAAGATAACTCATACTGAGTAAATTAGTGGGAAAGGATTGTTTGCTTTTGGTCAAGCTTGTAAGAGGTAATTACTATAAGGGTGGGCATGGATGTTTCCTGGAAAAAAAAAGGCTTAAGTCTGTACTGGAGCCAAGGGGTCCACTCAGCCAGGGCTTATCCCCGTTTTCATGCATGAAGTGACTAAGAGTATGACTTTCTCCCCCCTGAATGATGTGCCAATGACCCAGCCATGTGTTGAAACCAGGACCTCTCAACCCCAAGACCAGCACACTTTTAACTATCAAGCTCACCATGTCTCTTACAGATGTTTCCTTGAGTAAAGCATCCAATACAATTATCATACTCTCATGAACTAGATAACAAACCAGCAAAATTAATTGGACTTCTATTGTATTCCTTCTTCATGATTTAGTTAACGTCATAAATACTGCCATAATTAAATCACAAAAAATTAAAAATTAAACTAAGGAGGTAGCGTGGCCAAGTGGGTCTTTATGGCATTGTCTGTTTTAGATCTAAACCTTGCAAACTTCCCCCCCCCCTCCCTTCTCCATCAGAGGTGAAGGGGTTCCCCTAATGATGTAATATATTATAACAATATTGTTGTTTTTAGTGAAATTATGAGGACTCATCTTAGCTTGTAAAATCAAGCAATGATTATTTAAGATTTTATAACTATTACTCTTGGATTCAGATCATTTACTCTGTAATATACTGTATAAAGTTTTTTTTTCTCATGCAACTGTAACTGCATGCTTTCTGTGTGAAGTTTAAAATCAATTAAATTAAAAAAAAAAAAAGACCACTTCTGCATTGAGGTTGGAGGAATAAGGTAATTGGTACATTTTTTTTAAAGTTTGTAACCCAGAACTTGGGTACTTGGATGTTATGCAGTAACTCCTCATCGTCTTCGTGACGCAGAATTTTACGCTGAGTCCAAGTATGAATTCCTCAGCTACAAATGATCAGAGTCAGAAGTCTATTGTTGCCAATCCTGTGTGTTGGTTCCTCTGTGTCGTTTCCCGATTCGGCTCATGTATTCCAGATATCATTCAGCGGCATGTACCAGCGAGTTAGTGTCCATCATGTAATTAGGACATCGAAGAAAATGGCGGCGGATTTCAAGTAAGTGTGCTGACTCTTCGATCGAGTCGTTTAGCAATCAGTTTTCGACATTCACTTTACTCTTTGCATCTTCACATTGTAGGACTGCACAGCCATTAGAATATTACAGGCAGTTTCTGGTGAGCAAATCTTTCGTATAAGTTGAAATACAAGCGTGCTGAACGGTGCGGCTGAAAAAATATATCTTGTTTTAAGCCAGGGTTTATGTTCATTTAAATGCACGCTAGGAAGTCTTTATCTTTTCATTTTAATTTGTAGAAGGAGGATGTAAGGCCAGATGGTCGTACACTCTTAGAGTTTAGAAAAACGATTCTCAATGTTGGTAAGATGAGGTCTTTTTGTTTCCTACGTTTTGACACTTTTCATACCATGTGAATTTTTACGTTCTTTAGGCTTATCGTAACAATCTTTCCATGATTTTTTCTAGGTTCTATATCGACAGCCGAGGGATCGGCTTTGGTTAAAGTTGGAAACACGACAGTTGTCTGTGGAGTCAAAGCAGTTAGTATACACTGCTACCATACTATCACGATGTATTTCTTTTACCCTTAAATAATAAATAATAGGCATTCTTACCAAAATTAAGGCTTTTGTCAATTCTCATCCATAGGAGTTTGCTGTGCCAAGTCAGGATAAACCAAAACGTGGCTTCATAGGTCAGTAATAATGCTAATGGTGATAGTGATGAGATCACACAAAGGAGCTTGCTGGTGTTTACATCTGCATCTTTTGGAATAACAGTCAACAAAGAACTCAAACCTCAACTTCTATGCCGTCACTTTGTTTTTACAATTTAACCCTTGAAACCCTGATTTCTCCATAGAGTAATACTGCCAAATAATTCTGTAAGATCACGAGAATAAAGGGCATTCTAATCAACATAAGAGGCTTTGATTGTAAAAGGAATTCTCCTTGTCAGTACCAAACGAAATGTGTAGAGAAGAGTATGGAGAATATATATATTAACATTAACCCTTTAACTCTTATGAGTGACCAAGACAGAATTTCTCCTTACAATATCAATACAATATCAAGCAGGAAAGTGATAAGAATATAGAAAAAATCTTAATTAGGGGATTATTTGTTGATCCAATACCAAATTATCCAAACTAGCATCACAAGAACTGTATTGCAGACAGTAAGGAGAATTAATGATGAGATCTTGGGCATTCAAGGGTTAAGGTGTAAAGGGTTTGGCTATGTGTCCCTTAACCCTTTCATTCCCAAGATCTAATTAGTAATTCTCCTTACTATCTGCCATACAATTCTTATGATGTTAGTTCAGAGAATTTGGTATTGGATCAACTAATAATCCCATGATTGATATTGTTCTCTATTCTCATCACCTACCTGCTTGATATTGTATTGATATTGTAAGGAGAAATTCTGTCTTGGTCACTTGTGGGAGTGAAAGGATTAAGTAGCAAGGTATACCTCTTGTACTTTTGAATCAAGTAAATAATTATCATGTGTATTTTTTGATTTTCAAATATGATTGAATAAGATGACAAATTTATTAATTTAAAATTTGTGCATTTAGTTCCTAATGTAGATTTACCTCCTCTTTGTTCCTCCCGTTTTCGCCCGGGCCCTCCTGGTGAACAAGCACAAGTTTTGAGTCAATTTGTGGCTGATGTTATCTCCAAGTAAGTACCTGAACATGGAGAAGGAGAGATTTGAAACCTTTTGTTTCTTTGCTATCATTTCCATGGTAATAAGTTTTAGTTCAATTTGGGGAAATTGAGTGTTTTTCTATTTGCATCATCAGCTGTGAACCAGTCAATCTGGAGGACTTGTGTATTGTGGAGGGCAAGGTACGAAGCACCTTTCATAGTTCTGGTGTGAGCTGAATTTACATTGGATGTGTTTACAGAGTGCAAAGTAATGGCAGGTCATTGGATAATGTCAAGTCAAATATGGGTTTTTGTCCAGTTAACTCCTTGGATGGCGGGACATTTTGTCCAACTGTTTTCCCATGTAATAAAGATTTTAATTCTGAGCTAATTTCAGGTTTTTGATACAGCCGTATCTCTTTTCCTGCATTGAGTTCAAGGCTACATTGTGCTTGTTTTATAAGAAGAGGGGAATGATTTATGAGATATGATATGATGTATCTCTGTTCATCCAAAAATGGGTGGTGTTCAGACAAAAAATTTTTTTGTGCCTTGTCTTTAAAAGAAAGATGTGCCATGGTAAAAGACCTTTTGTAAAGGAATTCTTTTTCACCTCCCAACATGTTCAGTTTGAATTTGTACCTTGGAATCTTCCATCCCTCACATATCATGAGACTATCCTACAGGACTACGGGTACTTCCTGCTTCTGTCTTTTAACTGTGCTTTTTCTTCCAGTTGTCATGGGTCCTGTATGTGGATATTATGTGTCTTAGTTATGATGGAAATATAACAGATGCATGTCTCATAGCTGCTATTGCTGCCCTCTTAAACAGTGAGTAATATTTCTTTTTTTAGACAGGCAGGAGAGAATATTGTGTTGCCCAGTTACCTTT